ATTTATATATAATCATATATCTTTTAGATATTATATAATCCTATGATACATAGAACATATAATTTGTGTGTGAACGTATATTATTACTACAGCCATAAAAATTAACATATTGATCATCTCACACAATCACCTTTGATTTTTTTTGTAAAGGTACTTACAATCTGCTTTCAGATTTTCAGTACGCCATGTCATATTACTGAGCACAGTGCTCATGGTGTACATGGTCTAGATCTGTTTGTCTCTACACAACTGTAACTTTGTACCCCCTACTTAAATTTTTTCACCCACTAGACTACTGTTCTCTTCTTAGTTTTACATATTGGAGTTGTTTTTCTGCATTCTAGATATAAGTAAAATCATGCAGTACTTTGCTGTGTCTCTTCAAAGTCAATCTTTTATCTTTATTTTAGATTTTGTTAATTTCAGCTTATCTTTGTTTTTCTTATTTTTCCTTGAGCTTTTTCTGTACTCTGCTGCTGATTTCTTTCATTGGATGATTTCATCCTCATCCTCATCATCATCATTTGGTATTGGGGATTAAATTCAGGGCCTGTGCACTGAGTTATATTTCTTTTTTTTTTTTCCTGTTATTTATTTTGAGACAAGATCCCTCTAAGATGGCTTTGGAATGGGAAGACTACATTCTGCACTTTGTATGTGAAGCGTTGTTGCTGTAATGTTACCTAACTTTACTGGAAGCCACATCAAGGATAGAGCTCTTTCTAGAGACTGTCAGCCTCCTCCTTCCCAATTTTGTCATTCTTAGCCCACTTGGAGTGTAGCAGAGTGGACAGATTAATCTATATGGAAATATATTTTCATTGTCCAGTGATTACTTTGTCTTTCTTTCTTTCTTTCTTTCTTTCTTTCTTTCTTTCTTTCTTTCTTTCTTTCTTTCTTTCTTTCTTTCTTTCCTTCCTTCCTTCCTTCCTTCCTTCCTTCTCTCTCTCTCTCTCTCTCTCTCTCTCTCTCTCTCTCTCTCTCTCTCTTTCTTTCTTTCTTTCTTTTTTTCGTGTTGCTTTTTATTACAAGATACTAAGCAACAACAAAACTTTGCCTTTTCTCATTGCCAGTGAATTCATGGAAATTCTTTCATGAGAGCTCAAATCTGATCCCTAATTTGGTAAAGCCTTGATCGCCAAAGTGTTAAATAGTCATTCTTTCCTCTTCAGATACTACTTCTTTCTTTCTTTTCTTTCTTTTACTTTTTTGTTTTTAATGTATTTGGTTGTTACAGAGTCTCACTATACACAGCTGGGACTCATAGTGATCCTCCTGTTTTCAACCTCCCCATTGCTAGGATTATAGGCGTGCCCCACTACACCCAGACTCTGTGGCTGGCTCAGCCCACCTTGAGGGCAGGGCTGGCGTGGCATGTGGTACCAGGAATCAAACCACGTGTCCTGCATTTGCTTAAGCTTTCCTGAGCAGGTGCTTTAGTCCACTGAGCTATCTTGTGGGCCCTTCAGATGTAATTTCTTCAAAACACAATGAAAGTATATCTGTCAGAAACTAATGGCATCAAAGTAGTAGTGAGATCACTGCAAAGGCAAAGCTGCGTTCAGATCCAGACCACCGCTGGACCTAGAAGAACACGGAGGAAAATGATTCATCTGCACTAACAGTCCTTTGGGCTTTAGGTGACATGATTAACACCAACACTGCTGACCATCTTACATGGTAGGATGTTTGTGTAACGGTTTTTACATCGGTTCAGTGGAAGATCCGCGGCGAAGTGTGGAATATCCAGTCCAATCAATTTTAACTCCTGAAAACAAAAAGAATAAATTTGAGATTTCTGTACATTGTGGGAAATGAAAGGATTCTGCTTTACATTGGATTTTTTTCTTTTTGGTCCACATTGAAAAGCTCCCTGAATGCAATGGAATCGTATCACATCATTGATCACTAAATAATCTGGTAATGAAGCCTCAAAAATAAAGCATTAGTAGTGTTCAGGCAAGCCTTTCAAAGAAAGTAAGAATATCCACATATTTGCCTACATGTATTTTTATAAGTCTCATTATCAAAAGCTGCAGTAATAAGATAATTTTTATGTAAATAGACGATCATCACACTTCATTTCCTGCGAACATTGTTCATAGTGTGGTCTAAGTGATTAGTACTTACTGGGATTGCACAGTGTACAGTCAATCTAGCAGATACAGCTACATTTCTGCACACCTTTTTTTTTTTTTTTTAAAAAATGTACTTGGTACAGGGTCTCATTACACAGCTCAGACTCATAGTGATCTTCCTGCTTTAATCTTTCCCAGCATTGTGTGCCACCATGCCTGCACTCGGTGGCCGGCTCAGCATGCCTGGGAGCGGGGCCGGCACAGCATGTGGTGCTGGGGATCAAACCCTGGTCCCTGCACTTACCAGTCAGGCACTTAGTCCACTGAGCTATCTCGCTGGCTCTTTGCACACCTTTTTGAGAACTATTATTAAAAAGTAGATCTCACTATCTAAATGGGAGTACCTCTACAGTATGCATTTTTCTACACAACCATTAAGTGAGGTAGTGAGAGAAAACACTTGCTATACTTTTTATTTACACTTCTAGAATGTTAATATTGTTCACAAGGTTTATTCTCTCTGATTTGTTCTAACTGTTAATTCCAGGAGCACTAGGTAGAGGAATATTTCTCTGGAGAAAGAAGTCTGGAGTCTTGAAAGATGAATGGAACTGATGACATTAAATGGTGCTTTGAGAGGCTAAGAAGGATATCTGCTTTGTGCTCTTTGGATCTTGATTCAAGAGCTCTTAGGGATCAAGTTTGCAGGTCTTCTGATTCATGTCAAATACAAGCTAGCAGCTTCCCATGTGCCCCGTGGTGGGGGGCCACAGGCCTGTCACCAGGGAGGGGCACTCAGCTAATGCACATCATCATTACCAGCTTTACAGGGTCACAGTACCTCAAGCTTCTTGACTTAAATCAAAGCCATGCCTTAAAGACAAATTATGTCAAGTCTGATCCTCAACTCGTGAAAGTAGATTTCCCTCCATTTCCAACAAAAATCTTGTATGCTAAGGCCTTCAGGCAGAAACTTGCCACTTTTATTTTATGACTGCATTTCATTTTGAAGAATTTCCCAAGGCCAACTGTGTTGTTTTTGTTATAAACACAGTTTATTCATGGCCAACTTCAGGCACAGTGGTATTATTTTTAGATCAGCTTATTTTGATAGCTATAAGCTTATTTATTTATTATGTATTTAGTACAGATTCTACAGGGTCTCACTACACAGATCAGACTCAGTGATTCTTCTGTTTTCAGCCTCCCAAGCACTGGGATTATAGGTGTACACCACCACGCCCACTTTCAATTGTGTCTCAGTGTGCCCCAGGGGCTGAGCTGGCATGGCACTCTGAGAATTGAACCCAGGCTGCTGCGCTCTGCCTAAGTAGGTGATTTAGTTCACTGAACTATCTGGCTGGCCTATAAGCTTATTTAAATGATTATGATTAAGCAAATGCAAATGCTGTTGCTTAAATTATTTTAGAAATGTACCTTCTTAGAAAGTGTCTTCATAGATAATTTGTCAAACTCTCTTACTTATTTTGGTGCACAATTTCAAATTGTCTGGTCTTGAAAAGATAGCTTGATTCTCCTTGACATCAGATTAATTTTGTAAAATAAGGCAAATTATCAGGCCACAGTTGACCAGTTTATAGTGACTCTCAACTACACTAATTAAACTCAACAAATACTCACGCAGCACTATTGCTACTGACTGTGAAATGCTTCTGCTATGATTCCTTGCTCATTTTGCTTTTCCTGGCTCCACAATTTCTCCCTTCTTTGCCATTTGTGCTAACAGACCAACAACTGCCCTCCTCCTGGTGCCTGCTTTGAGGACAGACTGATAAGCCACAGGAGAAGGCCTCAGATACATAAAAAATGGTGGAAACAGATTGTGACAGAGAGCTGGTGCACATATGGAAGCTGACTAACTGATAGAACTTTAATTGTGTGTTGCTTCCCTGCTGTAAATGCCCTGAGTTGATAAGAGAGGCTTAATTGGCTGAACGCTATAAATGCAAATTGCCAACGCTGAATTGCAGCAAAGCAGGGACTGCATATATCCACAAAATGCTTTGCAGCCTTTGTAATTTAGCCTGTCACTAAGTAGAAAATCAGAGGCTAAGTTTCCAGTTCAGTAGCTTTGGAGTTATTTTCTTTCCAGCCATATGGAAATACCAGAGGCTTAAATCTTCGTAAAGACAAAGTATGGGGGTGATAGCCTGAAAGCAACAGAAGTCATTTTTTAATTTCCTTTTGCTAGTTTAGCTTCTAAAATAATTTATCATCTTCCTGCCTCCCTCAGGTTACATAGTCATCTAGAGTTGACTCATAGTCCTCTAGGGTTGAATGTTGGGCCCCTAAATGACATCTGTATCTTGAGCTCAGAATCTGGTTATGACCTTTTTTGGAGGGGTTGCTGCAGATTAAGTGATTAAGGACCAGAAGGTGAGATCATCTTGGAGACCAGGAGAAGATCATGTAAATATAGAGGTGGAGACTGGAGTGGTGCAGCCACCAGCCAAGGAGGCCTGGGAGCCACAAGGAGCTGAAATATTCTCCTATAGAGCCTTTGAAGGAGGGTGGCCCTGTGGATTCATTGAGTTTGGACTCCTTGCATACACAGTGATAATAAATACATTGTTTTAAGGTGACAAATTGGGGTGATTTGCTGTAGAAGCTCTAGGAATGACTGCCGTCACCCAAGCCCAGTAGCTGCCTATGTTGCACTGATTGCTACTGAAGTACTCTAGTTGGCAAAGTAAAGCACCACCTTATGCACTGTTTAGTCTGCATGGGCTGCCATGACCAATACCGCCAAGTGGTGGTTTAAACAGAAGATTTTCATTTTTCACAGTCCTGGATGCTGAGAAGGCCAAGTTTAAGATGCCAGAAAACTGGGTTTCAAAATCTTATGGTATAGGCAATCGCTATCTCTATATGTATGAGTAACTTCTCTGTCTTCTCACTTCCAAGGAAAGAGAAAGGAGAGAGAGAGAGAGAGAGAGAGAGAGAGAGACAGAGACAGAGACAGAGACAGAGACAGAGACAGAGACAGACAGACGGCAGAGAGGTCGAAATCATGATTCTTCTTATTATCACACCCCAAGGGCCCCATTTTCATGATCTCATCTAACCCTTATTATCTCCAAAGAGTGTCACTTTTGTTTTTAATTTTAGGGAAGGGTCTACAGGGTGTTAAGGGTCTCATTACTAGATAGGACTCAGAGTGATCCACCTGTTTACAGCATCCCAAGAGCTGGGATTACAGGAGAGTACCACCACACCTAGTCTCAATCACCATCTCAGTGTGTCCCAGGGGCAGGGCTGGCAGGGCAGGCCCAGAGATTGAACTCCAGGCCCCTGTGCCTACTTGCAGGTGCTTTAATTTGCTGAGCTATTTGGCCGACCCATGAGTCCCATATTGAAGGGAGTATTACATTGGAGTTAGGACTTAAGCACATAAATTTTTGGAGGACACAAATAGTACATGACCTGTACCAGTATCATCTGAGAAAAGCACAAACTGTATTATGATCTAGAGATTGCAATAATATCAACTGGTGAGAATACTTGTCTTCGCTTTGGACTAGGCCAGACCTTAGAGTCAGATAAGCTAAATTTCTAAACTGCTTATGTACAGGGCAGAGCAATTGATGGAAAATATCCTAGTCCATGGCAATTAAAAGGTCCAAGGAAATTGGACAGTGCTTGGTTATTTTCAGGAAAATGTAAAAGGAGAATGGATTTAAAGGAAGCTACCTAGTAAGCTACCTACTGTATTAGTTAGCTAGGGCTGTGTTTACAACAAAATGCCACAAACTGGTTGGCTTAAAACAAAGACATTTTATTGGCTCACAGTTTTGGGGACTAGAAGTCTGAAATCAAGATGTCAGCAGTATCACGTGGCTTTTGATGACTTTAGTCTCTCTCTCTCTCTCTCTCTCTCCATTTTGAAAAATAAAGACACTCACTGTATTGGGTTTCCTAATTCCATACTTCCATCTTCAACAATCTTATTTCCAAATAAGGTCATATTCTAAAATACTGAGATATGGCTCTTCAAAATGTCTTTGGGGGCACTGCTTCCTGACCTTTTGGCTAATATCAAGTGTAATAAAATGTTGTTTGGAGAGCAGGGACACAACTCAACCTATAACATATACTTTTTAAAGAGAGGAAAGTGTAGTAATGATAGGAATATGAGATGGATGGTGGGAGACTAGATAATCAGGGAATCAACCTCCAAAGTCTAGCAATAGCTAGCAAGACCCTGGGCTTGGACAAAACCCTTGACTGGACAAGAGTCCAGTCAATGGATACATTATTAGTACAGGCTCAGAGATCAAAATCTGGGAAAGGGAAAAGAAATTAAAGGAGAGAAAAGCTCAGGTGTGGGAGCAAAGACTCCCTACCATGAGAATTATTGGACAAAATTCAAGATGAGTTATTTCAACAATGACTGTACCTAAGTCTACAGTAAATTGCACTGAAGCATAGGGAAGTACAGTTACAAAGGGGGCTACCACACACAAAAAACTAAAAAAAAACAAAAAACAAAAAAAAACCCCAAAACAACAAGGCCTCTGAGCTGTATGGGAATTTGTGTTGTTTTACTTGGATCTTTTTAAAAAAAATTTTTTAAATGTTTCATTTACTTATTTATTTGGTACAGGACCTCACTATGCATCTCAGACTGATGGTGATCTTCCTGTCTCAGTCTCCTCAGAGCTGGGATTAC